CTCATTAGCTGGGGTCTGTAATAACTCCTCTCCTCTGCGGATTGGCACAGAGGGGACCCGTAAGACACACTTACCAGTGGGTTACATGCAGTGATGAGCTCCCAAAATCCTAATACCGGGTCCTTGGCGGCACTTCGGCGGCGGCGGGGGGGGGGGGGGGGGCCTTCACTCGCTCCGGGTTTTCGGCGGCGGGTCCTTCACCCGGAGCGAGTGAAGACACCCCCACCCCCCGCTGCCGAAGTGCCGCCGAAGACCCGGTAGGGAACCGCACGGTGAGTACAAGCCCCATGTGCCTGTCTCCCCCCCACCCATCCAACCCCAATCCACTTCCTGCCTCCGACTGCCCCCCTCAGAACTCGCAACCCATCAACCCCACCGCTCCTTGTCCCCTGACCCCCCCCTCCCAAGACCCCCCACCCTAACTGCCCCCCAGGACCCCACCCCCTACCCAACTCACCCCGCTCCCTGTCCCCTGACTGTCCCAACCCCATCCACCACCACTACCCCGACAGACCCCCGGAACTCCCACGCCTACCCAACCCCTCCCCATCCCCTGACTGCCCCCCCAGAACCTCCGCCCCCTCCAACCGCTCCCTGCCCCTTATCCAACCCCTCCTCCCAGCCCCAGCCCCTTACCATGCTGTTCAAAGCAGCAGGAGCTGCAGAGCTGCCCAGAGTGCTGGCGGCGCGGCGCGCTGGGGCTCTACGAGAGGGGGGCAAGTGGGGGAGGGACCAGGGGAGCCTCCCCAGCTGCGAGCTCAGGCGGGCCGGACAGGACGGTCCCGCGGGCTGGATATGGTCCGCAGACCAGACTTTGCCCACCCGCCGGCCCGTTTACAACCGGTTGTACACTGGCTTCTAAATTTAACAACCGGTTCTTGCGAACTGGCTCCAGCTCACCACTGGTTACATGACATACTTCCTCTGCTCAAAGAAACTTCTCCAAGTATATGAGGTCCACAGTGGTTTGAATCCAGGATGGGCCCCCACTTGTGTCACAGCTGCCATCTTGCCTGACACACCAGGGTCTGAACTAGGGTGACCAGATGTCCTGATTTTATAGGGACAGTCCCGATATTTGGAGCTTTTTCTTATATAGGCACCCATTACTCCCACCCCCGTCCCAATTTTTCACACTTGCTATCTGGTCACCCTAGGCTGAACCAGGGACCTACAGAGCTAAACGCACACGCTGCTACAGCTTGAACTAAATCGGTTGCACCAAGCTGCTATACCTGGGGACTGTAACAACTACTATCCCCTGCACATCAGTACAGAGGAGGAACTGTAACACACACATACACATGGGTTACACCTGAAGTCAGTGTCAAAACTCTGATTAACTTCCAAAGGACTAGAATTTGGACCAACGTCTTTAGAAATGCAGTGAAGCTGTTTGCAGAATTGGCCAGGTGATGAAAAATCCCCTTGGCAATTCTTTTTTACATGTATTGTGAATCTGAAACCACCTGTTGCACTTATGGAATCAAAGTCTCAATAGGCCTCCTCAATTACATGTGCAAAAATTCACTTTTGCGGCCAACAGATGCACTAGCAAGTCTTGTGCGTGCAGCAAACGAGGTCAGTTGAAATGTAGAACATGACACAACATGCTGTTGGAGCTCTAACTTTGAGCTACTGAACCACTAAAACTGCAAGTACAAGAACTACTAGAGTAAAGAATATTCAAGATAAAACCATGTTGCTCTGGATCTTCTGTTTAATGTGGCCAATTTGAGGGGTGTTGTGTGCATGCACATTTAGATTTCATGTCCCAAATTCTTGTCTGCAGATGAGAAACCCATATTGCAACACTCAGCTCAAACTAAGCCTCCCCTTTGAGTTAAAATTTTTGGTTATGCCCCCCGCAACCCAAACAGGCTGGGTGGCCTGCTGAGGTGAGTCAGGGGATGGAGGTGGCATGGACACTCCCTCCCTGAGCCCCATAGTGCAGGGCTGGCCCAAGCCACCTGGTGTCGCTGCTCCTGCCCCCCAGATGTTCCTCTGCACCCCCCATGGGAGGGTGTGCCCCACAGTTTGAAAACATCTTGAAGCTGTTGCTAAATAGAAGGCAGAAACCTAGGGGGTACGTGCCGCTGTGTGCCCTCCTGTGTCGCCTCTGGGGTGTACGCGATAGACTACATTACTTGGAAAGGGGTACACAGCCTCCAACATTTGAAAACCATTGCCTTAGTGTAAAATAGGGAGGTGGGGGCTGTGGGAACAGAAAAATGTGAGGGTTAAAGTTACACAACTGCTGAGTAATCCTTAAACAACCCCAGGCACACATGCCAATGCGAAGATTAACTAACATAATGGCTGTGTAGCATATTGGTAAGCACCAGCCACACACTGCACACCAGGTTATAAGGCAGGGACTCAGAATATTCCCCAAATAACACAGATCCACATTTGAGTGTGATGCCTCTGTAAATCTGTAAATCCCGACTGCGTGGTGAGCTGATGAATACCTACAAACAGCCCTTTCTAATGGCAGCACTATTCGGTCTAACTGTAAGATGCCTTCCAACAAGAGTGGGATCTAGCTAGAAACTGTGGATCACCCTGTTGGCTTGTGCTAATGCCTGCTCTGCAGTAAATTGAGAGTAACTCTGTTTATGTCTATTGGCCTGATCTCACAACCCTTACATCAGCAGTAAACTCAGTTTCAACAGGATCACTGCCATGAGTAAGGACTGCAGGATCAAGCCCACTGATTCTTCTCTCACACCAGTTTTACACTAGTCTAACTCCACTGTTCTGAATGGAGTTGTTCTGGATTTTGTGCTGGTGCAATTAGGATCCAGAATAGGCCCCTTAGGTTTTACCAAAAGAGACTGCAGTTTGCTGTATCACACTTAGGGCATTTCTCCTTGATTTGAAGATGGGCAGCGGCTCCATCGCTGAAACACAGGCACACTGACAGTGCACTAGCAATGGACCTGAGGTAGGTACAGGGATACGGCTATAAAGAAGACTTCTTAGAAGGAGGCAGGTGGCTTTGTGACTAACTCTCTTGCCCCGTCCCCATCACACACAGTATAGTGATCTGTTTCTGAAGCTGTTCCACAGAACATGCAATATCACCATTATTGTGTGAAATGAACCACAGGCAGTGAACAAAATTAATTTTAATGGCTCTGAACAAATTACATACAGGATATGAATGTTTGTATCTTTGCAAGATGCAATCTTTATAGCTCTGATTGAAAAGATACATGCAGGAAAGAGGGCACATTTCCAAATAAGCTACAAATAGCAGGATAATTTATTTTTCATTACTGTGATGGGGCGTCTGCCCCACACTGGTGGAGAAAGGGTTAAAAGCAGGCCTGGGGAGGTTGCGCAGCAGACAGCCAATCAGAGAGGGGCTGCAATGAGCAGCCCATCAGGGCAGAGCAGGCCCATATATAAAGAGAGCTGCAGGGCAAACGGGACAGGGCAGAGAAGGTGCTAGGGCTACGGGGAAGTGGCCAAGGGAAATGGATGGCGGGAGTTGAAGTAGTGGTTTTTTAATCTCTTGACCACCCTAATAAAAAGGTGGGTATGTGTGATGTGAATTGTGGAGCCCCAGTCATAGACCAGAACTTCATTGTTTTAAGCACTGTACAAAGAACAAAAGCACTGACAGTCCTTGCTTCCAAAGAGCTTATAGGCTAAGAATAAGAGTCACCGGTTTCTACAGATAGATGGGGAACATATGTTCATATATGCCAGTAGTTCTTATTACAACAAGGTCTGCAATATTGTTCATAAATTTGTATGTTCAATAAAGTTGTTGTTGTTGCACTGCAGGTCCAGGATTGCTTCCTAGCTGAATAGCTCTAAATTGGTTCCTTAGAAACAGATATAAAAACAGTGCTGTCCCTGTTGCTCTACCCAACCAGGGACACACAAGGCAAGATGATGCACACTTTCAGCTAATCCACACAATCTCTCTCTCTCTCCCCTATTCCAATTTAAAACTGTCTGTGATTGAGGGATTGCTTCTCCACAGGCTTGGGGGAGAATTGGCATGGGGTGGCCAACTTCCACCATGTGCTTCATGCTCCTGGGCTTAGGACTCTAGGCAGAGGTGAAAGTAAGCCGGTACGCCCCGGTACGGCATACTGGCAAGAGCCGGTATTCCGGACCGGACCGGCTTCCCCAGGCGGCAATTTAAAGGGCCTGGGGCTCCCAGCTGCGGCTGAAGCCCCAGGCCCTTTAAATTGCTGCCAGAGCCCCACTGCCAGAGCCCCAGGTAGCGGAGGTGGCCGGGACCCCCAGGGCTCCGGCAGCGATTTAAAGGGCCCGGAGCTCTGCTGCAGTAGCGGTGGCTGGGAGCCCCTGGCCCTTTAAATCACCGCAGGAGCCCCACCACCACTACCCCAGGGCTCTGGCAGCAGGGATCCAGCAGCAATTTAAAGGCCCCGGGGCGGCTGGAGCCACGGGCCCTTTAAATCGCCGCCTGAGCCCCGCTGCTGGAGCCCTGGGATAGCGGCAGCTGGGCTCTGGTGGGAATTTAAAGGGCCCGTGGCTCCGGCTGCTGCTACCGCCCCGGGCCCTTTAAATCTCCGCTGGCTCCAGCAGCGGGACTCAGGCGGTGATTTAAAGGGCCCAGGGCTCCCAGCCGCCACTACCGCAGCCAGAGCCCAGGGCCCTTTTAATCTCGATTGAAAGGGCCGGGGCTCTAAAGGCCCCGCCTCTTCCGGTTGAGGCCCCACCCCCTGCTCAGGACTCCGGAGTACTGGTAAGTCCTTTAAGTTACTTTCACCCCTGACTCTAGGTCAGTGCCTGAATTTGGTCCTAAATTCACATAGCTCAAGTGAAAAGAAAATTGAAGTTGTGCAGATTTCTATGAACTGGGGGCTTTGTAACTAGATAAACAATAGATATTATTCATTTTCCAGCATTTCATCTCTATTTTTGCTTTCATAAACAGTACAGGCTAAACATGTCCCTGGTTAAACCCACAGGCGTTGGGGAAATTACACAAGGAACAAATTTATCTCTGCATGTTTTTCTATGATCTTTAGTCTAGGCTAAATGGAACAAATTTAAAACTCTCCTTCATGATTTATTCTTCTTGTCAGCAAAAAAAAATCTTCTTCGCTTGTTCATCTGCCAATAAAAAAAAAAGGAGAAAGTATGTATTTTAGATAGATGGAAAGAAATAGTTCCCAAGTCTCTGACAGCACAGTTGAATATTCTGTATATTTACGGTCATTAATACTTGAAAACTAGCAAATACACAGATTCAGTGACTGGAACAAACCACCTCCAGATGTTAAACTTTTAAATGCACTTTTATGTATTTAACCATAAACTCATGTTAGAGATTGAAAAGTTCTATTGGGCCCATCTGGTCCATCCAGTCCTGACTGTTTTATACAGTAGTTATTATACAGTAGTTAATGCATTGGCCACTGTAGTTTTGTATGTCCAAACCAAGGGTCCACCACCTCTCTTGAGAGAATATTCTACAGCCTAATGCATCTCCCTGCCAAAAAGTTTTGTTTTCAGGATATATGGTGATTTCTTTTCCTTTATCTTGCCCTGTAATAGGAATACTGCCTATAACAACAAGCTATAATTGCGAGAAATGTTCATTTTTGGTCATCCTGATGCCTGGCTTTTTTTTTCTTTTGATATCTAATCACAAGCTAAAGATGTTTATAACTTTGAGCTTTCTGTCCTGAATGGTATCCTTTAAACAACCCAAATCATGTCCTAAGTGCCTAGAGGTTTAGGACTTTGGAAATTTGCCTGAGGAAAACTGGATCTGATCCTTTTGAATTATTCTGAATGGTACTTAGGTTTTATTTTTAAAGTCTCTTAATTGTACTGTACCTTCTGGTTTGGTTTTGCTTCTTCTCCCTTCACAAGGTCTAGGGAAATTTGCTCATACGTGTTATCAGGAGCAGGAATTTGCTTTGCAGATGAGCCTTTCTGGAAATTTTCAGGGATCTTTTCATATGTATTTTCAGTACAGTCCTCTGTTCTGGAGGATCTTGTGTTCAAAGACACCTCATCATAAGTATCATTGGGTTGTACTAGAGAAGACTTAGAAAGTCTCTCAGAAGCTTGATCATGGGTAGATGACTTTGGCCGTCCGACAGGAATCTGTTCATAAGTATTGTTTCCATTATCAGAGCCAGAAGCAAAAGGCTTACAAGCTTTCACTTTCTCAATCTGCCCATATGTGCTATGTGTCGATGAATCATAAAGGATCTTGTTGTTTGGTTTTCTAAGCCCTTCATTGCTTTGGAGGGAGGTTGCATAGGTTGCAAATAGCTGTTCTGAATCTTGGGACTCCACAGAGGTCCTAGCTTTAATGGGTAACTTCGGAGACAACTTAGGGGGTGTTGTAGCAGGAGTACTTAATGTCAACTTCTTTGTGTCTGCAGAAGTTGATGGACAAAGGGATGGGGAATGGACCCTTTGACCCCAAGGAAGTGAGGAATTGCTTTTGCCTTGCTCAAGCATAACTTCAGAATAAACAGTTTCTGGAGGCGATGGCTTTATAAGATCAATTTTTTTGTCATAGAAACGTTCGGCTTGCTTAGCCAAAGCATACACCGAGCTGATTTTTTTGCTAGGAGAGTAGTTTGCTTGGTCTGGTTCTCCTGGTTTTTGCTGGGTGTCACCTTGTGATAAACAGCCTGATTTCTCAATGAGGATTTTGTCAGTGGCAGACTGGGTCTCCAAACTAAGGCCTCTGCCATTCATATGGTGTTTGTTCAGCTCCGCATATACAATGTTTCCTTGATCGTTTAAATCTAGCTTGAATGTCTCCTGCATAAGCAAGCTGCTCCTATCCGGCAGTGGTGGGGCTATGTCTGGATCCTGATATGATGGAGAGGAAAGAGAGGAACATAATTTTCAGGAGTCAGTAATGAATATAAAATGCAATGCATCAACAAAGGTGATGAGATACATTCAGACCATGGTTACTCCCAGGCAACTTCACAGAAATCAAAGAATCCTTAGGCATTTTAAAAATCCTGTAGCACTTACTACATCCTTACTTAGATCCGAGTCCTTCCTCAGAACTCTTATTGAAGCCAATGGGGAATTTGGTCTGATTCAGAATAAAGACAGTGGTTGAGATTTTCAAAGCAACATAGGGGACTTAGCTCATTAATTTTCAAGGAGGATGTATGGTTACATTCTCTCTAGTATTTCTCTGAAAATCTCAACCAGCAAGAATTTGGGTCTGTCTCTAGAAGTCAGTTCCTCACCCCTGAAAAGCGGCAGCTGTTCAGCAGCTCTCTACCTTTTTTTTTTTTTTTTTTTGTTTTTTGGGGGTTTTTTTTCTTTTTTTTTTTTTTTTTTTTTGGTGGCTGGGGTGGTCAGACGTGGGCCTTAGTGCACTGTGGAGAACCACAGAACCAAATGTTCTACTCTAGGTAAGGGGTCACCAGAGCCATACAGTAGAAGAGACCATCGCCTCCTTGCTCTGTGACTTGATGCCTCTGCTTATGCAGCCCAAGATTGCACTGGCTTTTTTGATGCCAAGTCACATTGCAAATTAATACGTAACCTGTCCACAATCACTGCTAGATCCTTCAGCATCACTGCTTTCCTATGACACTTCTGGGGAAAACAGGGGATATGTGTTTATAGGATTACATTCATCCCCATGCGAAAGGCCAGTTCAAGGCCTGTGTACACTTAAGTCCCACTTAAAGCTCTATTTTGAGTACCCAGGCCTTCCACCAGGACCACTGCATAGGGGTGAACTTCACTCTTCACTAGTGGCCAAAAATATGATCACATTTTGTTTGCCTAGTAAAGTCACCTCTGGCAGAAGCTGAGAATGGATGATAGGGGATGGATCACTTGATGATTACTTGTTCTGTTCATTCCCTTTGAAGCACTGGCAATGGGCACTATTGGAAGACAAGATACTGGGCTAGATGGACTTTGGTCTGACCCAATATGACCATTCTTATGTTGACAGAAAATAATTCCAAGGGCAATGTTACAATGTTACTGAATCTGTATTTCTGATTCTGAAACATCACCAAATTGGTACGGCACTTCCTGGAACATGGTCGCAGCACAGCAGATCACCCTAGCGACACTAATTAATTCAAGATACCTGCTGTCTCTGCTTCAAACAAGTCCCCAACAGCGGGACATTACTTTTGCATTCTGCATAAAACCTACCTGGGAGTTAAAGTTCTTTCTTTCTCCTGATAAGTTTTTGTGCTCTTTCTTTGACTTTGGAGGTAGAGAGGTGGCTTCCTTCATTAGCACAGTGGTTTGTGAGCTGCCAGACATTTGCCTCATCAGCAAGGGATTGACTTCTCCACTGTTTGATTTACTTTGCTTTGAAGAGGTTTGCTGATCCAAAGCGATCTCATCATATAAACTTTTCTCAATTGGCTGTGGGGGGGGGAAAAATAGTAGTTAATTACTAAAACATGTCATGAATAACTACTATGGTGGTAAGTGGGATGTTCATGCCTTTCCTGAGAGATAAATAGCATGAACTCTTCACTTTTTAATAATGATATAAATAAGTTCAGTTAGCAACTTTGAATTATTCATTCTGCATAAGGCAATACCTTCTTAAATAGCTTTATATAATACTCCACAAGAAGTGTTAGGAACATCAAATTGCTGTACCCGAACAGACCCATGGTCCATCTAGTCTGATACCCTATTTCTGACAGTAGTTGAGGTGGGATGCTTCAAGAATCAAAGCCTCAGGAATTGTACACACTACCACTTATGTTGGTGCAACATATGTCGCTTAGGGGTGTGAATAAGCCATCCCTCTGTGCAACATAAGTTACACCAACTTAAGCACTGGTGTGGACAGCGCTATGTCCCGCCAACATAGCTACCACCTCTCATGGAGGTGGAGTAGTTATGCCGACGGGAGAGAAGTCTCCCATTGGCATAGAGCGTCTTCACCAGACGTGATGCAGCAGCATAGCTGCATTGGTTCAGCTGCGCTGATGTAGCGCTCCTAGTGTAGACTAGCTTTCAGATGCACCTATTTGCACCGGGGGATATTTCTTCTTTTTGTTTTGTGCTGTAGAAATAAGATGTGCAGGTAATCTGAAATTACAGCCAAAAAAGGCCAAATTCTGCTCTTAAGTATGGTAGTTCAAATCTTTAGCAACTCCCTTGACATCAGAGGAGCTATTTATGATTTACACTGGTGAAAATGAGAGCAGAACTGGGACTAAAGTGTATCTATTCTCCATGTCTGATAACTACCTATGGACTTAGATGAGCAAGAGCCTTTGACAGCAGTGAATTACCAGCAACATCCACAGTGAAAAGAGTGTTTCCTGATGGGCCTCTGATCATTGAGACACTGTGATGTTCTCTGCACTAAAGCAACAGTGCTTATATTTTAACATTCTTTTCTTGAAACATTACAGAACTCTAACACAACAGCAACCAAAGCCTGCAGCCTCAGCTGCCCTGGGCCCCATTTTCCAATACAGAGGAACTCTTTAGTCATACCCATGTGCTTACACAATAACAGCTACTTCATATATCCTTCCCCTTATTAGTAAATAAATAAATAAACTTCTGTTCTTTCTCCATCAAACTATTCCTCAAAGATTCAGCAATGTTCAGTGAGTCTGTGGGGTTTAACTACTCTACCACTGTGTGTTTTTATGGGAGTTGCATCAGGCCAGTCAGCAGACTATACTGAAGATGTAGCTGCTTCTTGTTGTAGCCGACATCATTAGTAAGTGAGCCCAGTGGCTCTGTGCAGACGGGTATGGCCCTAGACAAGTACACAGATATTGTGATGGGTGAGTACACAGAAGAATGTGCCTGTGAAAACTCAGGTAAGTCATTTGTTCAGTGGATCACTGGAAGCAGCAACAGGTGTTTGTGTTTTTGTTTCAGCAAGTGTCCTCTGACGTAATCTAGTATGATCTTGGGGCAAGCAGGTATCTGACCTCAGCCCTGTCTCCCCAGCTGCCATCAGTCCAAATTCTAACAATTTCTCCTGGTTTAAACGTCCTTGGGTATACAGCAGTTTTGGCACAGTGATAGTCTTTGTTTTTCCTTTTTATTAACTCTCACATTTGTTTGTGAGTTTCTCTTTGAGCTGTACCCACATGGGGAAGTTTTGTCCTGATCTGACATCCCAGCAGTAATTTAGCATGTAGCATATCGCTTTTTAACAGTGTTGCCAAGTAATTTAGCAAAGTAATGAGAGAACCTTCCATTGTATGTGTAGTCTTTAACAACTTTGTAAAAAAATTAACTCCATATTCTGCTAGTTTATTATGCTGAGGGTATGTAGGACTGCAGGTTACATGATGAAATCCCAAATCTTCTGTGAAGGCCTTAAAATCTTTGCTGGCAAACTGAGATCTGTTAGTTTTCACTATTTAGAAATCCCAAATCTAACAAAATAGCTCTACGCTTTAAGATCATCTGCACTGATGTGGCCTCCTTTAGCTGAGCCACCTCTACATAGCTTGAATATGCATCAATGCCAGTTAAGTATTACCTGTCCTCTAGGATTAAAATATCTACAGTGTCCCAGACTCCAGCTAATGTGCCTATACTTTTTTTTAAGGTAGGGATGATCTGTATATTTGACACGTGACACAAGCATTTACTATGCGAGTGACAACTATGCTTACTCCTGGCCAATATATTGCTTCTCATGCCCTCCTTTTGCATTTTCTGTTTCTATATGCCCTCATGAATGAGCCTTCACATTTATTTTGAGTACAAATGGAATCACAAAACCCTTTCCTAGAAGAAGAACACCATCTGGAATTGAGAGAGAATGCCTGCAATATACACAGTGGTTGGCCATGAACAATTTTTTCCCTCTGGAATGTTCAGCATGCAGCATGGACTGTAGTGTCTCATCCTCTGCTGTAACACCTTGTAACTTTTCCCATGTGTGACACAGCACCTGAGTATTTTCTGATGTTGATGTCAATGTCCGATTTACTTGCTTGATTCTGATCTCAGTGGATCTCATGTCAGGTGATGAACAAACTGTCAGCTACAATTAAAACAACTTGCTAAATACATTCAATAGCGTAGTCATATTTTTGAAGCTTCGGTAGCAGGCTTTCAATTCTGGGTGGGGCTTCCCACAGACCCTTCTTTGAGATAGTTAATGGGGATTTGTGATCAGTTTATGACAAATGGTATTTCATAGACAGAACTCTGAAAATCTTTGTGCCCTAATGCAAGTCTCAGAGTTTCCTGTATTCTGCTGCATGATAACCTCACATATGGTTTCTTGACTCTCCCCCTTCCTTAAAACATATGCAACTCACTGATCAGTGTGTTACATGTTCTTCTCTGTGCCTGATCCACTGAGCCTCCAGGTACACAGGCTGGTCCTTAGGCTCAAGTAGAAACTCATGCTTACAACTCTGAAGATCCCTGGCATCGGCCAAGATGGAGCCCATCGTACCTGCCTGCATCTGCAAGTTTGCCAGTTCTGCTGTTTTGCAGAGCTGTATGGCTTTTTCTAAAGTTAGCTTATAATCTCTGATCAAATTTACTCCTGGGGGAATTCTGCGGGAAGCTGCACAGGGGGACGATCATGGGCGGTTTTTTGGGAGGGGGATTGCCTCGAAACAGCGGCGAGGCATTTGGGGCACACGGGGTTACATGCCACTGCCCCCACTCATTTCTGTAAGCATAGAGCTGCCCAGTTGAAGGAGGCTGTGTCTGGGCTCCTCTGACTCTGCAGCTGAACGTCACCTCCTGGGTCCTAGTGCCAGTCGTGCTTCCCTTTGGTGTGCGGGGACCTTCCTGTTTTCTGTGTGCAACAGTGAGTGCCTCTGGTGGGGCTGGGTAAGGTGGGGTGGGGGAAATGAGGGAAGGGGGAGCGAGGGGAAGAGGCAGTGGAGAAGGAAGGGGGATGGAATAGGGCAGGGAGAGGGGAATGTGGGAGTGAGGCATAGGTGCTGGAAATAGGGGTGCTGCTGCACCCCCTGGCTTGAAGTGATTTCCATTATACACAAAGTTTGCACTTTGGTTCAGTGGCTCTCAGCACCCCACTATACAAATTGTTCCAGCACCCCTGGAGTGAGGAAAGGAGGATAGGGCATGGGCATGAGATGGGGAAGAAAAGGGGTTAGGGGAATTGCGGGGGGGAAGTGGGAGCCAGGCATGCAGCATCCCCTTTGCAGCAGCTGGGGCTCCCACATTAAGCAGACCCATCAAACCCTCACCCTGACAAGCCCTACGCCCCCACATCTCGATTTCCCCAATGAGCCCCCCACACCCAGACCCCCACCCCACTGAGCCCCAGTCAGCTGCACCTGGACCCCCACCCCATCAAGACCCACTCCCCCAGCACCTAGACCCCCCACTGACCCCTCCACACCCAGCCCCCATGCAAAGCCCCATCTCCCCACACCCAGACCCCTCCCCCACTAAGCCCCAACCACCTTCACCTGGATCCCCTCCAGAGTCCCAATGCCCCTGCACTCAGAACCCCCTAACAAGCACCTGTGCATCCAGATCTCCCACTGAGCCGTCCGCACCCAGATTGCCCCACACAGAAACCTCTCTCCCCACAGCTGGATCCCCCACACTAAGCCCTCCACACTTGGATCCTGCTGGGATGAGCCTGCCCACCCACACCTGGTGTGTCTGGCGCAGGGGGCAGGACCCCAGGGTGTTTCTGGGGCAGGCCCAGCCCTTGCACTGTGTCAGGGTCAGGTGCAGCCTCACTGCTGAGTCCCTGTACTAGGGGAGGTAGGGGCTTCAGGGTGATCTCCCACCTCAATGCAGTCATTGGCCTGTGCTCCCCACTGCCATGCTGGAGCCACATTTATTTATTGACAAATAAAATGTGCAGAATTTTAAAATATCGTGTGCACAATTTTTATTTTTGGTACAGAATTTTTATTTTTTTGGCACAGAATTCCCTCAGGAGTAGCTCATGCACCTTCTCATTGCTGCAACTTACCACCCACTCTGTCTCAAATTTAAACCTTTTAAGGGGCCAAAATTGCAGGCCTGATCCTAGAGCTTCAAGTCTGTAGTGTACTCTCATATGGAGGAGAAATATTTCATTCTTTCTAGGTACACAATAAACTTCAAACTATACTGCTAAAATCCTATCAAAATCACTCTGTCAGTACTGTCCAGGGGCCAGAGTTGGAAGCTGTTAAGAATATCTAGGACCTCTGCACCAGCAATACCTAATAAGGCAATTTTCCTGACACCACCCATTCTGTCTGCATCCACTGCAATCATACATAATGGGCACAGCTGACTCTTAGCCTGGTCACTAAGCAAACTCAGGTCTACTAGTGGCTTCAAGCCATTCATTTTTACTGGCTGGGTGTGTGAAGTTCTGGCATGTGAAATCATTGTGAAAATTCTTCCTGATGGGTCTCAAATCCATCCACTCCTGGTAGTATGACATGTTCTTTGTATTTTAATTTATTTTATTTTCATGTTACATAATTCTAACACAACAAAAACCAGAACCTGGTGCTGGCTGAAGCCTGCAGCTCCCTGATCTAATCCGAGCTGTCCAGCCACACCCCCGTCCTTATACAACAGCTGCACCTTGCAGATATTGTGTCCAGTGCATTCTTTCACATATTTTAAGTTCTATCTACTTGTCTAATTTGGCATCAATACCCAAGGCAGCTTACCAGGGTTGAGAACAAATTTTTTGCTTCCTGCACATAGGTGGGAAGACATGGGGGCAACAAGAGAGAACATGGGTGGGGGGAAATCAAATCAGTATCTTAGATGTCTGTATACTAATATGAGAAGTATGGGGAATAAGCAGGAAGAACTAGAAATGCTAGTTAATAAACACAACTATGACATAACTGGCATCACAGAGACTTGGGGAGACAATGTACGTGACTGGAATATTGGTATAGAAGGGTACAGCTTGCTCAGGAAGGACAGGCAGGGAAAAAAGGGAGGAGGTGTTGCCTCATATATCAAAAATGTGTACACACTTGAAGTGAGGTTGAGATGGAAATAGGAAGCAGACTTGCTGAAAGTCTCTGGGTATGGACTAAAGGGGTAAAAAAATAGGTTGATGTCATGGTGGGGGTCTACTACAGCTCACCTAATGAGGAAGAAGAAGTGGATTAGGCTTTTTTTTTTAAACAACTAACAAAATCATCCAAAGCACAGGATTTGGTGTTGATGGTGGATTTCAACTACCCAGACATCTGTTGGGAAAATAACACAGCAGGGCACAGATTATCCAACAAGTTCTTGGAATGTATTGGAGACAATTTTTTATTTCAGAAGGTGGAGAAAGCTACTAGTGGAGAAGTTGTTCTAGATTTGATTTTGACAAATAAGGAGGAACTGGTTGAGAATTTGAAAGTGGAAGGCAGCTTGGGTGAAAGTGATCATGAAATGATAGAGTTCATGATTCTAAGGAATGGTAAGAGGGAAAACAGCACAATAAAGATAATGGATTTCAAGAAAGCAAACTTTAGCAAACTCAGGGAGTTGATCCCATGGGAAGCCAGTCTAAGGGGAAAAACAGTTCACGAGAGTTGGCAGTTTTTCAGAGTTTCATTATTAAGGGCACGAGCAAACTATTCCACTGAGAAGGAAAGATAGGAAGTACGGCAAGAGACTACCCTGTCTTAACCAGGAGATCTTCAATTATCTGAAACTCAAAAAAGAGTCCCACAAAAAGTGGAAACTAAGTCAAATTGCAAAGGATGAATATAAACAAATAATACAAGTATGTAGGGAGAAAATTAGAAAGGCCAAGGCACAAGATGAGATTAAACTAGCTAGAGACATAAAGGATAACAAGAAAGCATTCGACAAATACATTAGGAGCAAGAGGAAGACCAAGAATAGCATAGGCCCATTACTCAGTGAGGGGGGGAAAGCAATAACAGAAAATGTTGAAATGGCAGAAGTGCTAAATGACTTTTTTGTTTGTTTTCACCAAAAAGGTTAGTAGCAATTGGATATGTAACATAGTAAATGCCAGTGAAAATAAGATAGGATCAGAGGGTAAATTAGGGAAATAACAAGTTTAAAATTACTTAGACAAATTAGATGTCTTCAAGTCATGAGGGCCTGATGAAATACATCATAGGATACACGAGCTGACAAAGGAGATATCTGAGCCATTAGTGATTATCTTTGAAAACTCATGGAAGATGGGAGAGATTCCAGAAGCCTGGAAGAGGGCAAATATAGTGCCAATCTATAAAAAGGGGAATAAGGACAACCCGGGGAATTACAGACCAGTCAGCTTAACTTCAGTACCCGGAAAGATAATGCAGCAAATAGTTAAGCAATCAATTTGCAAACATCTAGAAGATAATAAGGTGATAAATAACAGTCAGCTTGGATTCGCCAAGAACAAATCAAATCAAACCAACCTAGTAGCTTTCTTTGACAAGGTAACAAGTCTTGTGGATAGGGGGGGAAGTGGTAGATGCAGTATATCTTAACTTTAGTAGGGCTTTTGATACTGTCTCGCATGACCATCTCATAAACAAATTAAGGAAATACCATCTAGATTGAGCTACTATAAGATGGATGTATAATTGGTTGGAAAACTGTTCCCAGAGAGTAGTTATCAGTGGGTCGCAGTCAAGCTGGAAGGACATATCAAGTGGGGTCCCACAGGGATCAGGTCTGGTTTTGTTCAATATCTTAATCAATGATTTAGATAATGGCATAAAGAATAGACTTATAAAGTTTGGAGACGATACCAAGCTGGGAGGGTTTGCAAGTGCTTTGGAGGATAGGATTAAAATTCAGCATGATCTGGACAAACTGGAGAAATGGTCTGAAGTAAATAGGATGAAATTCAATAAGGACAAATGCCAAGTACTCCAATTAGGAAGGAACAATCAGTTGCACACGTACAAAATGGGAAATGACTGCCTCAGATGGAGTACTGCAGAAGGGATTCTGGGGTCATAGTGGATCACAAGCTAAATTTGAGTCAACAGTGTGACACTGTTGCAAAAAAAGCAAAGATAATTCTGGGATGTATTAGCAGGAATGTTGTAAGCAAGACATAAGAAGTAAAATTCTTCCGCTCTACTCCACACTGATTTGGCCTCAACTGGAGCATTGTGTCCAGTTCTGGATGCCACATTTCAGGAAAGCTGTGGACAAATTGGAGAAAGTCCAGAGAAAAGCAACAAAAATTATTAAAGATCTAGAAAACATGACCTGTGAGGGAAGATTGAAAAAATTGGGTTTGTTTAGTCTGGAGAAGAGAAGACTGAGGGAGGACACGACAACAGTTTTCAAGTACATAAAAGGTTCTACAGAAGGAGGAGGGAGAAAAATTGTTCTGAGTAACCTCTGAGGCTAGGACAAGAAGCAATGGGCTTAAATTGCAGCAAGGGCAGTTTAGGTTGAACATTTAGGAAAAACTTCCTAATTGTCAGAGTAGTTGAGCACTGGAATAACTTGCCTAAGGAGGTTGTAGAATCTCTGTCGTTGGAGATTTTTAAGAGCAGGTTAGACAAACACCTGTCAGGGATGGTCTAGATAATACTTAGTCCTGCCTTGAGTGCAGGGGACTGGACTAGAAGACCTCTCGAGGTCCCTTCCAGTCCTATGATTCTCTGATTTTTAGCCTCAGCCAAAAGCAATAGTTACTACGTTTGATCTCATTTCATCAGGAACTAAGTGAATTCTGAAGAGTTGAACTTACCTGAGCACAAACTGTTGTAAGATTTTTCTCCAAAAGGCTCGATTTCTGAAGTCTGGTAATAGCCTATCAGCTGTGCAAGGCTTTCATGGGTACAGGTATCCCCTGATACTACATAATGTCCATTCCGTAGGTGATTAATGACGAAATGCCGACATCGATCTTTTCCTCTGCAATTGAAATACATAGTTTAGACTTAAATAGCAAGCACAACACACAGGCTGAGAAAACTTCTGTTTTTGCACTCATGGTTCAGGTTTGCAAAACCAAAACCTATGGGTGTTTGGAACCAGCTTCCATTTTATTTGACACACTAAAAGAAGAGATTTTGAATGACAGGGTCTGATTTGGCCTATTGTTGCATGGACAGCCTTAATTCTGGAATGTCCTAACTTTTGAATGCTTGACTTTTTCAACCTTAATATTCTTTTAGTGTAATTTTTAAATGTAATCTCCTACATTTAAAAAACCTGAAAAAAATTGAAATTCCATCATGTGGAACTGTATTGACTTCAAATTGGGTCCTCAGCAAGATTGTAACTGGTAGCATTAGTAGGCTGTTATCCTCCATGTGGACCAGCCACTAGTAAGGGATGAGAAACATACTCTGGCAGTGGATTTCACAGATACTTGCTGACCGTGGAGGAATGGTGAGATCCAGGAATAAATGGGCTCCATTCCAGGCCCTGGAGGGGAATGTGCTGTAGTGGACAGACCTTCTGTCCCAGTGCCCCCAGCCTGTTTCTGTTCCCCTTTGCTCCTATCCACCCCTAATCCCAGCTCCTGCCCTGTCCCCCTCTGCTCCGATCCACCACACCCAGTCCTGACTCCTGCCCTCCTTCCCCCTCTGCTCTTATCCATCATGCCCAATCTTGGTTCCTGCCTTCCTTCTCCTCCTCTACTCCTATCCAGCCCTCTGGCTCCTGCCCACCTCCCGCTCTGCTCCTATCCAACCCAGTACAGTCAGGCCATTTCTCCTTCTCACTGCCTGGGCACCACTTTGGGAAGCATTGTGAGCCCAGGAGAGGCAGTCTCCCTGCTCTCAGTTCTGGTGCCTGGGGCCACTGTGGCTGCAGGAATGCAGGAGTGGCTGTTGCAGGGAAAGACCAGCTCAGACCCTGAAGCCCTGGATGAAACATGCTCAGTGCAGGCAGAATCTTTGAAGAATTTAGTGGTCATGTGCAAATTGAGATGTTTCAAAGGCTTTTTACATGGTGAAAATGTGGTTGTTTTTTCCCACAGGAGCAGCTAATGACAGATTTCTGGCACCATCTCACACATCACCTCTGAATCTGATCCCATGAACTTAGGGTGACCAGATCGCAAGAGTGAAATATCAGGACACATTGGGTGAGCGGGAGGGAGGGGACGACAACGACAGACACAGGTGCACAGAGCCATGAGAGGGGGCCCTAGGAAGCTGCGAGAGGGGTTGTATGGCCCCTGCTGCAGCCCGCACCACAAGCCACAGGGCAAGGATACCTATTGAATTCAATGAGAATTTTGCATGTGAATTGATGTACCTAGTTCTGAGATTATAAAGCCAGAAGGGATCCAGTGATCACCTGGTCTCACCACCTGTATAGCACAGACACAGAACTTTCCCAAAATAATTCCTAGAGGATAGCTTTTAGAAAAAGCTTTTAGAAAAACACCATGACCCTTAGTATATTGTTAATCGTTAATTACTCTCACCATTGAAAAGGTATGCCTTCTATCCAGTCTGAATTTGTCTAGCTGCAACTTCCAACCGTTGGCTCATGCTCTACCTTTCTCTGCTAGACTGAAGTGCCCATTATTAACTATTTGTTCCCCATGTAGATACTTACAGTCTATAACCAAGTCACTTCTTAACCTTCTTTTTGTTAAGCTAAATAGATTGAGGTCCTTGAGTCGATCACTATAAGGCATGTTTTATAATCCTTTAATCCGTCTTGTGACTCTTCTCTGAACACTCTCCAATTTATCAATATCCTTCTTAAATTGTGCACACCAGAACTGGACACAGTATTCCAGCAGTGGTTGCACCAGTGCCAAATACAGAGATAAAATAACCTCTCTACTCCTGCTTGAGATTCCTCTATTTAGGCATCTGGTCACCCTATTTCTGTATGCATTTCCCCAGGTTTTTTTGTAAAAATCAAAACTGAACTGCCCCAGAAATTCTGTCATGTGGAATCATCGTGAAACTCGCATGGCTCCAACCCTGCCGATGAACCTTTAGATCCACTGCACAGACTTCTGCCACTTGAGCTAATGGAGTAAGTGATGGCAGAGGCAGTAGGTTGTCATCCTATATGTGATAGATCAGCTCTATAGGGGGATGAGACACTTTTTTTGCCACTGGGTTTCACAGATATCTGCTGACAGAAGAGGAACTGTGAAACTCAGGAATCCTGGGTCTATTCCAGGCTCCTGAACGGAGTGGTCTCTAGTAGTCAAAGACGCTTCTTCCCCGTCCCCTCCAGTCTATGTCTATCCTATTGCTGTCTAACCCGCCCCAGCTCCTCATCTGATTTCAACTGCCCCCCACTACCGCTCTGGATTCCTTGTCAGTTTCCTGGTCCTATCTCACTCTCCTCTCTCCCCGACCCCATCCCTCAGATGGGATGTTCGTTCCAGACTGGCAAAATTATAAGGCTTCCCAACATTTCAACACTTCCAATTCTAAATTTTCGGTTGCTTAACTATAGGCTAGCTCTGCCTACAACAAAGCATATTCAGAACCTCTGATTAAAGGGATTATAAGTGTAGCAACCTCCATCATAGCTAGTCACCAAAGATTGAACCCGAGCCATCCAGACTTAAAAGCATGAGCTTCTACTACTTGAGTTCAAGATATAACTCCCTTAGCTGGTAGCTATACAGTTATCCTCTAAAAATCCACCAGAGGAGAGCACAAAACACATGTTGGACAGTGAATTACAAAAGTGCCAAATATTATTATTAGACCTGCAATACTTTTCACAATGAACATCAGCGGGGGATAAACTGGGAATTTAAGAATATTTGGGAAACAATTTTAGAATAACATTCAGTGCTGTGGTTTAAAAGAAAAAAAAACTGTTAAAACTCATAACTTAGCAGCATTCAGTGTCTGAAAAAAGCAACTTCTAGGAGCTATGGGATACAAGTTAAGAATGTTGAAACAGGAAGATGTTGTGCTTAGTTACCACTTGGGCAAGGCGGCATGCTATGTAATACTTGCAAGATTTCACTGTAATGTTTTACAATATATAGCAGCGCAATGCTGATTCCATTGATATTGTTGAGCAATTCATGCTGATTTTATTTCAGCCCACATCTTAATAGTTTTGAATACTGTAGATCACAATTTTCAGCTCAGTTGGTCTGAACATGCAGAGCTTTAAAATTGCTATGCTCTAAACTGTATATTAACTACAATTTTATAAACCTGCATGTCAGAGAACTGTGTGCCACTACTATTAGACAGTGGCACAAGGCAATTCAGTGTGAATCACAGAAATGTAGGACTGGAAGGGACATCAACAGGTCATCTAGTCAAACCCCTGCACTGAGGCAGGACTGAGTAATAACAACACTAGACCATCCTTGACAGGTGTTTGTCTAACCTCTTAAAAAACTCCAATGACTGCTATTCCATAACCTCTCTAGGTAATTTGTCCAGTGCTTAACTACCTTTACAGTTAGGAAGTTTTTCCTAATGTCTAACCTAAATCTCCCTTGCTACAATTTAAGCCCATTGCTTCTTTTTCCTGCATGTCCTGAGTGGGACGGGGGTGGGTCTAGGCAGTGGGATTGGGGGGAGGAAGGTCGAGGGAGTCGGTGCGTGTGTGGGGATGGACCGGGGGAAGCAGGGTGAAGGAACTGAGGGGGACAGGACTGAGACTGGGGGAGTCGGGGGGGTTGAGGGGGATGGGACAGGACTGGGATGGGGGGAGTAGGGTAGGGGCTGAGGGGAGCATGAATGGGACAGGGTAGAGAAAGCTGTGAAGAGTGGGGCAGGGCGGGAAAGACAATGGGGCTGGGCTGGGGAGGGTCGGGGGGTTGGGGAGAGGGACAGGGTCTGGAGGAGATGAGACAGAGGGGAGCAGGACTGGAATGGGGGGAAGTTGAGGGGGTGGGACAGCAGGGGGAGCGATGGGGGTGGGATGACGGGAGAGGCTGAAGAAGAGATTTGGGGTAGGGCAAGGCTGAGGGCAGTGGGTTGGGGGGAGTAGGGGGACTGTGGGGGAGGCTGTTGGAATGGGGGCAGGGACTGAGGGCACTGGGTTTGGGGTGGGAGGTACAGGGGGGACTGCGGGGGAGGCTGAGGGAACAGGGTCAGGGTGGGGGCTGAGGGCAGTGGGTCGGGTCTACACTGGCACCTCTCAGAGTTGCTGTGCCGGGCGGCAGACCTGCACCAGCGCTACCCTGGCAATGGAAGAGTCCTCAGTGGAAATGCAGACTTCATGACACAGACCCTCCTCGTCACTTCAAACCTGATGCTGCTCTGGTCAGTTGCTTGGCTCATGTCACTTTCAAACCCATGCAGGGTATCTGGCTCTTTTTCAGTTCTCAGGTTAAGAAAAGCCTCTGCATTTTGTGAGGGCTTCAGCATTCACTTTCCTACTTGACAAACTGTCTGCCTGACACATTGCTCCCAGGGCATTCATCTTTATTCATTATCGGCAGGTCCATCAGATTAACGAGCAACACAGGGGGAAGCAACACAATGGTGTCAAGGATTTTTAATTTTTCAAACCACTTTGGCCCCAACAGGGATAACAGCAAATCTGGACAGAGCAGATGGGTGTCAGGATGGGTTTGGGTATTTATTTATTTATTTTATTTATTTAAGTGAAAATGTTTGGGTCTGAGCAAAGGCTGCAAACTTCCCTTTGGAAACCTCTGCTGATCTTTTGCCCCAGGGGCTAACGACAGCCTGGAATCCGGGACAGATTTCCACATCCATGCAGGGTGAGATGATGGGGGGGTGGGAGGGGAGGGACTGTGGGGAGGCAGAGGGAACAGTGTCAGGGGGGCTGAGGGCAGTGGATTGAGGGTGCGGGGCACAGGGGGGACACTGCGGGGGAGGCTGAGGGAACAGGGTCAGGGTGGGGGCTGAGGGCAGTGGGTCGGGTGAGATGATCGGGGGGAGGGGAGGGATTGTGGGGGAGACAGAGGGAACAGGGTCCGGGGGGCTGAGGTCAGTGGATTGAGGGTGGGGGGCACAGGGGGGACTGCGGGGGAGGCTGAGGGAACAGGGTCAGGGTGGGGGCTGAGGGCAGTGGGTCTGAGGGGAGCCCCTCCAGAGGGACCTGCCAGGGGGCCAGGTGAGCCCAGCAGTGCTTACCTGGAGCGGCTCCCAGGAAGCATCCAGCAGGGGGCAGGGGCACTCTCTGCCCGGCGCCCGCTGCCCGCTGCCGGAGTCTACAAGCCCCGCCCCGCTGCAGCACACAGGGGAGCGAGACCTCCTCGCTGCCTCTCTGTGTGCCCGGGGCAGGGGCAGGGCTGCGCTCTGCAGGCTCCTGCCGGCCGGGCGGGGGGCCCCATGGGCTGGCGCCGCGGCGCCAGGAGCTCAGCTGCGCGCTGCCCCAGGGCCCAGGGCGGAAAGGTGAGTGGCGCCGGCGACGCCAGCTTGCCGCGGTCCCCCTCATATAGGGTGACCAGATGTCCCGACCAATGTAAGGTCGGGACGCGGGACAAGTCCCCTAAAATCGGGACTGTCCCGATAATATCGGGACGTCTGGTCGCCCTACATGAACTTGACTGAAAATCTATTGCATCAGCAGCAAACCTAGGAAAAAACCATCACCAGTGACCAGCTATTGAGCTAAGTACCAACACCTTTTGGTAAACAGCAGTATGAGGTTTAACACCAACCTGTTAGCTGAAAAGCAGCGTGAATTCATGGTGAGTCTACTGAGGAAGAGGAGGTGTTGTCTGAGTTCTGAGGTAGGGTGTCAGTGTGAGAAAAGGAGAGGAGAAACTCCCATGACGTGCTGGTTGAAGCGTAAAACAGTTTTGCATTTGACCACAAAGAGTCATGCTGCTGCTGCTGCACACACAATATCTAACAACTGTGAAAGGCCAGCAGAAGTGTTTTGCATGTGCCTCTCCCCATGTCCTATACTGATCAGATTGCAGATCCTCTCTGATAATTGGGTTTCATGATCCCTTCTTTACTAGGGCCTTGGCTACACTGGCGCTGTACAGCACTGCAACTTGCTGCGCTCAGGGGTGTGAAAACGCCCCCCCCCTCCTCCCGAGCACAGCGAGTACAGCGCTGTAAAGCGTCAGTGTAATCAGAGCCTGCAGCGCTGCATGCTCGCTCACAGCGCTGCAAGCTATTCCCCTCAGAGAGATGGAGTACATACAGCGCTGCTACTACACTCGCGCTTCACAGCGCTGCCGCGGCAGCGCTGGGAAGTCCCGAGTGTAGCCAAGGCCTAGAATGATCAATTTAAAATAGGCCTTGCTTTTTTAGTCCTATATAGGGCCCAGTCTCGAAATCCCTACTTATTTAATGGGGTGAGAACTCCAGGACTGGGCTCTTAGTGAATAAAAAAAATCCAAAAGATAAAATCATTACTATAGGCTTTGGTAATATATTTCTTCTTGGTTTCCCAATAGCTGTAAATATGACACTTCGTGCCATTGTGTAGATTACTGACCTCTTATTCTTTTGGGATATTTAGCTAGGGGAGAAAGTGTAAGAGAGATTCTCATTCCTCATGCCTCAAGGCATAAACTAATCACCTGAGCAGGTCAGGAAGCAAACTCAAAGGTGTAAAGGGTGCATGAATCAAAGTATGTAAAAAGAAGAGCAAATTACAAATGGTGACATTTCCCAACCAAATGGCAGCAGCTTTCTGTTCCTTGTAAAGTTCAGTCTTACCTATATGACAGAATGTAACCAATTGTTCTGTCACTTAATCTGATAAGAAAACAGCCAACATCTTTGTCTTTAAGCAGCTCTTCACTCTGCCTGTAGAAAGAGAGTGAATTACAATGAATTTCAAGTTTCAGAGTGGTAGCCGTGTTACTCTGTATCCGCAAAAAACAACGAGGAGTTCTTGTGGCACCTTAGAGACTAACAAATTTATTTGGGCATAAGCTTTCATGGGCTAAAACCCACTTCATCAGATGAATGGAGTGAAAAATACAGTAAGCAGAATATATATTATAGCACATGAAAAGATGGGAGTTGCCTTACCAAGTTGGGGGGGGGGAGGGTCAGTGCTAACGAACCGTTAGTATCCAGGTCTATCAAGGTAGTACACTAAAATTCCTAGTGACTCCTACGGACACAAAATGCACTGTATTGCCATACTAAATACACTTCAACAAGTCAATGGACATTACAGTTATTTCCAGACGGAAAAGCACGTCTCATACCACCACCACCAAACAAAAACATTCATTTTTAAAGTTTCTGGTCAGAAAAATTAAGATGGATTAAAATTATGTGAATTATCATAGATCGTCATAATCAATTTCTATAACTGACACCGGGATGACTAAAGAATGTACAATGCATTACAAGCTGATGCAAAACTGCATTCAGGCATTCTCACCTCTCCAGAACACATGCCAAACACCAACATGTAGGTGATGAAACAGTGGCATCGTTTAAAACCTGCTTTCTCTGCATATGAATGCCATCCTGTTAAACACTTCTCACTAGAAGAGCAATGACTTTAAAGTAAGCAGAGGTTGGTGGGTTGTTGGTTTTTTGCAAAGTAAGCTGAAACCTAGTCTGAAATATGAGAGGATTTGTGAAGACAGAGGCACTTGACAAGCATATTTATTTAATCTACTTTATGCTATACTGTAAGGTATAGACTGTCTTACTTTCTTGTAATGAATCCATAGAACCACTCAGGTAAAATACCATTCTGTAATATAAGAGGAACCTGCGTCTCCATAAACCACTTCAATGCTAGTTCTTTTAGCATCTCAAAGGACTGGTTTTCGGTTGCTGGGTTAGTTTCCCTTCCTAAGAGTAATTGCTGCTGTTTATTCTCCATGCTGTCTTGAGGTTGAATCTGAAGCATTTGAAGGGAGAAAAAAGAGAGCAATGCTACTTGTAAACCTCCACTGCTGTCTTTATTATGGGGAATATGAGATCTCATTTGCTTATTGTACTCTTCCCTGTGGCTCATTAATCAGATAATAACATATGCTCAATGCTGTCATTGTTATCTGGCTGTCATCTGGTGCTTTTCTCTTGTGCAAGGACTTTAAGGCAAAATCTTCCTCTCTGATCCATATGATAGAATTTGATCCCAATATTCAATATTTCTCTGTATACTGGAACAAAACTGATATCAATGCAAGCTTTGGGTATGTAACAGGGAGCAGCAAATTATTATTTGTATTGCAGTAGCACCAATCTAGATATACCACAGGTCTGACAGGAAAAATTTTCCCTTACACTTTTACAAAAAAGAGTTTTGTCTTTTGAGTGGATTAAGTAAGCCTTGTTAAATATTGGAACTTCTAAACCATAGTCACTGAGGAACCTACTTTATTACAATTTTAGCCATATTGTAAAGGAATGTAAACATCTAAACGGCTCCAAACAATTTTTTAAAAATCTTTTATGTAATATGTTAGTGAAGAAGATCTAGCAGAAAGCATGATCCAGATTAACATAGATATTAACTCTGTTAGATGGAGACCTGTATAGTTACACATACCGGTAGATATACTGATGGGTTTAAAAACAGCAATAAGAAAAAAAATACACAGGAGACCAGTCCACACTGGTTGAATGCTGCAAGAATGCTAGTTTAAATTCTAAACATTTCTACCACGTGCGTATATTATCTCTTTATTATTTGCTCTTTACAAATATATTTTTGTTACACAAATGTGTGGGGAGTTGCTGTTCCTTACACAAATACCCATATTCATTACATTGTATCTACTCACCTCTTTTATAAAAGTGGGTTGGTGTATAGATTTGGGCAGTCAATTATTTTTTGTCAAGCTCCAGATTTCTCGGTCAAGGTCTGGATTCCAGAGAAACATTTTTCACACCACAAGTGCCCCTGTTTAATGAACACATATGATGCTGTGTAATATACCCAGGGCCTATTGCAGAGGTAGACAATAGGTGGACCGTGGGCCAAATCCAAACTGCCAGAGGCTTTTGACCGGACCATGAAATTCTGGGGGGCTGTGGGCAGTTAGTGTGGGTGGGGCTAGTGCGGGTAGAGGAGTGACTGGCTGCATGCTGGCAGGCTTGGGGCAGGTGACTCCTGGGCTGACATGTAACTCAGGGTGCAGGTGCCCCTCCCGCTGCCGTCCCTAAATGGAGCCCTACCCCTCCAGGGCTGACAGCGGGAGCCCTGGCAGATGCTCCAGGCTGATTCGTAACTCAGGGAGGGCAGGTATTCCCCCACCATCTCTAAATAGAGCCCCGCCAGGTACGCCGGGGGCACTGGAGCTTGGGGCTTCATTCCCACAGGAGGCGCCGTGCTTCAGGCTTCAGCTGAAGCTCCCAGCTGAAGCCCCAACCTCCAGCACGCCTGGGAAGGGCTGAAGCCCCAAGCCCTAGCATTCCAGGCGAGGCTGAAGCCCGGAGTCCCAGCACAAGTCCCAGCGGGGCTGAAGCCCTGAGTCCCGCTAGGCCTCCTGCGGGGCTGAAGCCCCGGGTTCTGGCATGCCCTGCAGTCCACTGAAAAGCCATCACAAGACATGAAGGATGCCAACATCATAATGCTGTACAAAAACAAAGGAGATTGGAGTGACTGCAACAAATACAGAGGAATTTCTCTCCTTAATGTTGTGGGCACGGCATTTGCACAGGTAATTCTCAAAAGACTGAAAGTTCTGGCTGAATATGAATATACAGAGAGTCAGTGCTACTTCCGTGCCAATAGATCACTTATCAAGATGGTCTTCAAACTAAGGCAATTGCAAGAAAAGTGTCAAGAACAATGAAAATTTCTCTGTATGGCCTTCATAGATCTCAAAGGCTTTTGACCTGGTCAGCAGAAAGGGACTTTTCCAGTTGCTAGAGAGAACTGGCTGCCCCTCAAAGTCCTCCTCAGTCTGATTCAATCCTTCCATGATGGCATAAAGGCTACAATCCAGTAAGATGGTGATCAATCTGACGGCTCTAAAATCTGCAGCGGTGTCAAACAGGGATGTGTTTTGGCACCAGCACTCTTTGTGTATTCTTCTTTCTGCTGCTTCATCACACTTTCTCATTTAGCACTGAAATTGTACATTTCCGTGCAAGATCAGATGGAAAACTCTTCAACATTGCATGTCTAAGAGCAAAAAGTAAAATCAAACACTTGCTGTTAAGATAACTTCTTTTTGCTGACAGCACAGTGCTTGTCAGAGCAGCTCCAGAAACGTTGCAATAGCTTTGTGATAGTTGTTGATCAATTTGGGCTAACCATCAGTCTAAAGAAGACAACGATCATGGCACAAGATGTATCGTCTGCACCAGAAGTTTCAGTAGCACAACTTCTGCTATCTACGATCAACTGTACTGCATACCTTATCTCTAGATGACTAGCATAATTCTCACATTGGAAAGGAAGCTAACATATGAATTTAAGAACTGCCATGCTGGGTCAGACCAAAGGTCCATCTAGCCCAGTATCCTGTCTTCTGACAGTGGCCAATGCCTGGTGTTCCAGAGGGATGAACAGAACAAGTAATCATCAAGGGATCCATCCCCCATCGTCCACTCCTAGCTTCTGGCAAACAGAGGCTAGGGACACCCTCCCGCCCATCCTGGCTAATAGCTACCGCATTCAGCCAAGCATGTATGGGATAACAGGAAACTGACACTGAATCCCAAGATACAGGTCTACCACACGTGTATTGTGAGAATGCTACTGTATAGTGGCAAGACCTGGACCACTTACAGCAGGTAGGAGAGAAGGCTATACATCTTCCATACCCTTGGTCTTCCTCATTTTAAATATCAAGTGGGAAACCAAAGTTCCTGACATCAAAGTATCTGAGAAAGAAAAGGTGCCAAGTCTAATCACTCTTCTCAAACACATGTCTCTGTAGGCTTGGTCATCTGCACTAGATGGACGATGGATGCATTCCAAAGGATCTCCTGTATAGAGAACTAGTGGATGCTCCAAGGCCACTGTGACAACCAAGGCTCAATGTCAAGGACATTTGGAAGAGGAATTTTAAAACTTTAAAGCTGGTACTGCAAGCTTGGAAGATGCAGCTAGCAACAGGCTACACTGCAGGGCTGAGCTGCACCAGGGAGTCAATGAGGCTGAAGAGAGGTGGTTGAGAGAGAGGAGAGTGAAGAGGAAAGTGCAGCAGGCCTCAAGCACCAATAGTGTGCTGGCTTCATTCTCCGCCCCTGCTCCTTACAACAGCACTATCTGTGGCAATGACCGTCATTCAAGAATTGGATATTTTTATCCACTCACGATGCTGCAGCATGACATGCAGTAATAGAACTGCTTTGGTGCTTACATCATCATCTTTCAAGACAGACATTTGCCTGTGAGGTACACATAATTTATCTAAACCAGTTTCAATAAAATGAATCCGCAACCTCAAACAGCATCTCCCACTCATAGTCCCAGTCACTTGCCCCATCAGACCTTCCTTGGCCCTGGGAAGGTCTTGCAGCATGTCCTAAAGGTAACTGAGTCAGGACTCTTAAAGGGAAGGAAGCAGATTTCAGAACCAAAGACCGTCTTACCAAGAATGTCCTATCACTAGACCCTCTAGTTTATACCTAGAGGGGGGAGAAAGTGAAAGCACTTCAACTGACCTCAGCTGCTGCAGCATCCCCCAGGGGGAGAGGCAAACTATCTGGGGCTTGACTTCTCCAAAGAAGGGAAGTTAGGGTGAAAGAGGTAGCTGTGAGAGCTCACATAAAAATGAGCCTCAAGATTATGATGGCCCATTTAGGGAGAGCAGAGTGACAAGATTCAGAAAATCCAGTGTGTACACTTTTCATGTGAGATATGTTAGTGAGCCAGTCATCCAAACAACTATAGATATGGGCTTCCTGCCTGTGCAGGTGTAATGCCATCCTCTTGCTGGCTAATATGGCATACTGGTGACAAGCATAGCATTGGTATAAACAGCATATGTTCCTGACATTTTGCTTCCAGAATGCATGGTCTTCTAGTTGGAGCAGCTCTGTTAATTTAACCCTATGTGTATAATATTCTCACTTGCATAGAAAGGGGCTAATGCTTGCAATGTTTTCCCTCTTGCTATGTTAGGGCCAGCAGCAGCCTGGATTGGGCACAGCACATCATTTTTACAGAAGGCTGACTCCTCCAGAATAGTCAGTGTGGAGTTAAACAGTGACATTTATCCATTTACTTGAATAAACCCCTACTTGGTTTTAATTTTGAAACAACGTAAACTAATAAAGTGAGTTGCATTTGCTCTTGGGAGGGGTAAACACTTAGAATAGAGGCTCCTGTGCATTCACGTGAGCTGCTTTTCAGAACTATATGGCGCATCCTGATGTTCTGTCCACGTCAAATAGCCATTTCCCATTTCAGACCGTCTGTCAGTATTTCACTTCCACGTTACCTGCACAATACAGTAAAATGTTATAAAAGACAACATCTTAAAAACCTGTCTAAATACATATCTAACTAAGAAATTAGATTGAGCTGATCTGTTCTCCTTCACTACTAATCACAGTAGGGGCTTTATATATGTATCTACTTAAGTCATTGTTGTCATTGTTGCATTACAAGGAATCTCACAAAACCAGGTGACTGGGCAACAAAATGGCAGATGAAATTCTGTGTCGATAAGTGCAAAGTAATGCACGTTGGAAAACATAATCCCAACTATACATACAAAATGTGCTCTAAATTAGCTGTTACAACTCAAGAAAGAGATCTTGGAGTCATTGTGGATAGTGCTCTGAAAACATCTGCTCAATGTGACTGGCAGTCAAAAAAGCGAACAGAATGTTAGGAACCATTAGGAAAGGGATAGATAAGATAGAAAATAGCATAATGCTGCTATATAAATCCATGGCATGCCCACACCTTGAATACTGCATGCAGTTCTGTTC